ACAAACATCCAGGATCAGATAGAGCATTGTATGTCTGAGAATTGGAAGCAATTTGTTGTTGTTGCAAGAAGGAACAATGTGAAGGGGAGGCTGGAAAGGCAGGTAGGTGTCAAACTGAGGAGACTGGTCCCTTTGGCAAGATGAGTCAGAGAAGATTTTAAAAATTTTTTTTTAATCTGTGGAGTGAAAATGGTATACGTTGGATGGAAGTAAAATTGGAAGCAGGGGAAGCAGGGACGTTGAAAGATGAAGTAGTAGTATGGGGATGGAGAAAATGTTCCATCATTCATTCAAATAGTAAATATTTCTGAGGACCCTTCTGGTGTCAAGCACAGTGCTAGGCCCTGGATACAATGGTGAACAAGACAAATGCAGTCCAAGTGGGGACGGTGTAGTTCTCGGACAACAGGCAAATCAATAAAGACTTACTCGGGGCAGCATAACTTCATCTTTTAATACCAACTGACCATTTGCCTTAAACTTTGATATCCCGCATTCAGGGGTGGCAAACAGAGAAGTCCTCAGGCCATGAAATTAAAAACGAGTTAACAGGTAGGGTGTGGTGAAGGCAAAGGGGTAGGAGGGTGTGTTTGACCTGCGCACAGCTCTTCAGAGGATGCTGTTAATTGCTGTTGATTAGATTTTGTGCAGGATCTTGGCCTATGGGGTCCTGAGTCTTCTATTTTTTTTTTCCAAATAATTATTTTTTATTTTTACTCTTTTGGTGTTTTAAATTTTTTTATTATTTATTATCTCTTTATTTATTTATTTTTTTAAATTCCATTTTAGGTTTATAGAAGAGCCCAGCAGATAGTTCTTAGAGTTTCTCATATTCACCCCCCATCCCCCACCCTCCTACATAGTTCCCTTATTATTAATAACTTACAATTGCATGGTCCATTCATTAGAATTAATGAATTAATATTGATACATTTTTTTAATTTAAATTCAGTTAATTAACATGTAATGTATTGTTGGTTTCAGAAGTAGAGGTCAGTGATTCATCAGTCTTACATAATACCCCATGCTCATTACAGGGACTCTGATTTTTTTTTATATGTGCTTGGGAAGTGGTTAGTTTAAAGGTGGCATAAAGTAAAAATTCAATAAATGTTTCCTGGTTAGTCTTCTTATTGTTGTTACACATCAGTCAGCTAAGTGCTGTGTTATGGAGAGGAAGAGGAGAGCAAATGGCTAAAACTCAGTTTGAGAAAATTCAGTTCATTGATTGGGCAATTTACATAAAGTCAACAAGACCCAAAATGCTCAAAGCCAATTTGCTGAATCATCAGTTTGCCAAATTCACCAAGTTTATGGACTGTGGCTTTAATACTTAAATAAGGAACTTATTTTTTTTATAAGATTTTATTTATTTATTTGAGAGAGAGAGATCACAAGCAGGGGCCAGGGTAGAGGGAGAAGCAGACTCCCCGCTGAGCAAGGGACCTGACATGGGACTCCATCCCAGGACTCATTCGGGGATCATGACCTGAACTGAAGGCAGGCATTTAACCCACTGAGCCACCCTGGCATCTTGCAAACCTTTATTTTTTATTCCACAAATCCAGGTGTTGATTTCCAGGGCTGGTTAGCCTTTGCAGGTATCCTCACACCTGTGTAAATAATTTTACTCTTTCTTATGAATACTGCTGCATGTTGTATACAATTTGCAGAGATCAAGTTCTCGTGAGCAGCCAATATTTCAGTATGGGGAAGGTGGTAGAAGGAAGCGAAAATACCTAATAATCTCACTTTGAGCACATACATTGAGAAAGAAAAAGAAAAGAGTATCACCTAAGGGCAAATGTAATGTCTTTGTAAAAGTGAAACAAAACAAAACAAAACAAACAAACAAAAAACAAAGAAAAAATGACCCAGACTTGGATATAATGAATACATTGTTGCTGATCTCTGCAAAGAAGACTGTGGCACAGGGTAGGGGTTCAGAAATCTGTATGGAGTAAATGAATGAATGAAATACTCTGTTTCACTTATCTGTGTAGAGGGAAAATCTTGCATCTTTGGTGTAAGCAAACTGAGGACTCACCATATTTTGGGGACATTTAAGTTTAACCTTTTAAAAAAAAGATGGATTTTAGAGAGAGAGAGAACACAGAGGAAGGGGCAGAGGGAGAGAAGGGATTTCCCAGAGACACCCTCCTGAGCAGAGAGCCAGATGTGGGGCTCCATCTCAAGACCCATGAGATCATGACTTAAGCCAAAATTAAGAGTTGGATGCTCAACAGACTAAGACAACCAGGTGCCCTTGCCCTTGGTTATTTTCTTTTAAATTTGCCTGAAACTTACTTTTGTAGCTCAGGAGGCAGATCTATAGGCCAAGAAGGCAGAGAGTATCACAGTGGCTGGAAGTGACCTGGCTTGGTTGGAGCTAAGAGTTTGCAGGAGGCCACGGAGTCTTTAAGACCAGGCTGAAAGAAGTAGTGGCCAGGTCATGAAACTCCCTGTTAGGCGTTCTGTTAAGTTCTAATGTTGCCTTGCTGGTGATAATTGTGAGTTAAGTACTAAAAGTTCACCTGAATGCTGGTTTTCTGAGCACAGAGACTGGAAATGTGCAAGTTCACAGCCATATCATGGGCCTCCATGCAGAGCACCTGCTGTGTGTTGGGCTCTTACTGTCTTGAGATATTTTTAAAAAGTTCAAAGGACTCAGTGGCTATCCCTTGAGGCCAAGCTTTTTTTTTTTTTTTTAATATTTTATTTATTTATTTGACAGACAGAGATCACAAGTAGGCAGAGAGGCAGGCAGAGAGAGAGGAGGAAGCAGGCTCCCTGACAAGCAGAGAGCCTGATGCGGGGCTCGATCCCAGAACCCTGGGATCATGACCTGAGCCAAAGGCAGAGGCTTTAACCCACTGAGCCACCCAGGTGCCCCGAGGCCAAGCTTATTATAAAGAATTGGAAGCAAGAGAGTTTTCAGCAAAAAGAAAAAAAAGGTTGGCCAATAATGTTTGATGACTTAAGGAGGAAGATTAACCATAAGACTGGGCAATGTAAGGGTTGACTTGTTGAACTTTGCCAGTGACATCCAAAAAGAGTGGAGCAGAGGCCAGATGGACTGGAGGTGGGAAAGAATGTAAGACGAGTCATATAAGGAAGTGAGGTGTCTGGTAAAAATGCTTTTGGGGTGGGGCACCTGGGTGGCTAAGTCAGTTAAGCGTCTGCCTTCAGCTCGGGTCATGATCCTGGGGTCCTGGGATCGAGCCCCATATCAGGCTCCGGGCTAGACCGCGAGCCTGCTTCTCCCTTTCCCTCTACCTGCTGATCTGCCTACTTGTGCTCTCTATTTCTCTGTCAAACAAATAACTAAAATCTTAAAAAAAAAAAAATGCTTCTGGGAAGCAGCTTCAGGGAGGGGACACCTGTGAATGCAAGGTTCTGAGACAAAATATAAAACAAAAAACAATTTGGAACTGAACTTGATGAATTACTGGGAAGAAAAAAAAGTCCAGAAAAATCAGTTTATGTACAACCTTATTTTGGTTTGCTCTGTTATCATAGTCTCCAGACTCCTCCAACCCTTCCTGCTCCCCACATAGTCCCCTCAACCACCTCAGAGCACCCGCGAACTGAACCAACAGACTGGGGTAGCTATCAAAGCCAGCAGAGGACCCATCTACAGCCATAACTCGCTGACATGACCTCCCATGATTTCATCTGCCCTTCAAGTCTGTTGGTCCTCATGCTTTCTTTGCTTTGGTTGGTGAGGCATGATCTACTATGGGATCTAGTCAGAAACATGGGGCTCCAGTTCTACCTCAGCCATTAACACACCCAATTAATGCTTTTTTTTTTTTTAACTAAACTCTGAGCAGAACTGCTGATTGTGAGGCTTGAACTCATGACCCTAAGATCAAGAGTGTCACGTTCTATGGACTGAGCCAACTGCAAGCCCCTTAATTTGCCCAATTAAAACCCTTATCTACTTTATGTTTCTCTAGGCATTTCCCTATTTTTAGAGTTTGACCTCTCTGTGCTTCGGGTTCCTCATATGTATATCGGGTATAAGTAATCTCTATAAATAGTGGGCTCTACAATTTAAGTTAATGTATGAAAAATCTGTTCTTTGGGCCTGCCATGTAAATTTGTAGCAGATTGGTTAAATAGACAGGGGTCCATGGGGGCCCCTCTGAATTTTGACAAAAGAATCTGAAACAGCTGTCAAACAGACCTTGCGTTGCCCACACCTAGAGCATAAAAAACTTTCTCCCACACATTTGGGAAAGTTGTACAGTTGTGCAGAAAATGCCAGTGGCCTGCCGTTTCCTCATCTGTAAAAGGGAGGTTTCTGTTATCTCAAAGGACTGTCTTGGGGATTAAGAGGAATTAGCAAATGATCTAACGCCCATAATCCTTATTCGGCATTGATCTCTGGTCTCTCCTGTCTCCAGTCGCGTCAGGGTTAGATCAAGCACTGTGGATCATCTGTGAACCATACGAAGCTTCTATCCTCACGTAGCCAGCACTCTGTCACATAAACGGGTGATAGTGACAACCAGGACGTCAGAGGTCAGACTGCCCCTGACTGTCAGAGGCTCACCCTGGGGTCTAAACTTCTCTTTGCCCTCTTTGTCCTCAGGTCTAAGCGGGGGGAAGAAATAAGGCCTATTTTGTCAGGGTATTATGAGGATTAAATAAAATTAGTTTCAGTTGGTGCTTTAAAGAATGGAAATCAGGTTTTGAAAAGGCGGATTTGGGGATATGATCAAGAGGCGTGTCCTGGGCGGGGCTGTGTTGTAAGGTGGGTCTAGGGTGGGCACGTCAGGGGTTTATTAGCACAGCTCTGCGGCTCTCGTCACTTTATCATTCGGAAAGGCTCCAGAGTAGAGGCTGGATGAGGCTCCCAGTGGTGAGTTTCTCTGCGGGGAGGCAGCCTCCTTGATGTTCTAGTGTGTTGTAGGGCTTTGAGCTTTCCTTTTTTCACAATGCAGGCCTAGAGGCTGGGGACAGCTCCTGTCACTGATGTGACTGTGGTGCTCTGGGCTGGATTCGGGTGTGGGACATTCTGAGATGCTTGGGTATTTAAAGATGAAAATTTGGTCACATAAAAGGGATTTCTTGTCAATTATATCTCAACAAAACTTGGCGGGGGAGATTTAGGAAAAGGAGACCCAACCTTAATAAATAACGGACAATAAGGAACTGGTCTTGGAGAAAGATTTCTTATATTTTAGGTGTACAGAAGTATTTCAGGGTGGAACAGTATGTTTAGGCTTCACTAAGGAATAAGGAGGGGCTGCTGAGATGAGTGGAAGGGGTAGTTTCATGAAATGAGATAGGCCGTGTTGTTGGATCACAGAGTTGAGTGACGGGATCGCCAGGTTCATCAGACTCTTCTCTCTTAATTTTCATGTATGGTGAAAAGTTAATGGGATAAAGAGTTAAAAAAATGGCCCAAGCCCAAAGAGCTATCCTGGAAGAAATGAAGTGGCACTGGGATTTTAGTTTTTCCTACTTCACAAAGAAAGCATTTGATATTCTGTGAAGTTCAGAAATCATTGGGAACTTTGCAAGCTTGGGATGTAGGAGAGACCTGATTGACCCTCCTGTTCTTTGAGAAAGTAGCCTCAGAAAATATGGGGATCTTGACTTTGATTTCTTTTTCTAGATGAACACTTACAGGAGGCGAGAAGGCTCTGTGTTCTGTTCAGCTGCACCTTGTGTCTTTTGAGTGATACTCTAGTGAGTGACGTATGAGTTATCTGTCAGAGGCCACTCAGATACCCATTGGTGGACCCAGGAGTCCACGGGTCCCATCATCATCTCTGTCTCAGAGGCAAAACTACATCAGAGTGATCCTGAAGCAGTGGTGGCCCAGCCGCAATGCCGGTAGGATGTGGGCCTTCCATGAAACTGCTGTAGAAATGGCCCTCAGCCCAGCGTCAGGAGAGCAGCCAAAGATGCAGAGTGTGGCCTGGGAGGACGGTAGCCTTCAGCCCTGCCCCGTGGGCCATCAGCCTCAGAGCACAGGTAAGTGGACTCCAGAGCTCTGCTTCTAAGGGTCTGTGATGATACAAAAAAAGTCTGCTTGCTTGCTACTTTTACTGAGTTTTTATTTTTTGCTTATTTTTTTTTAAAGATTTTATTTATTTATGTGAGAGAGGAGAGAGAGCAGAGACTATGAGAGGGGAGAGGGTCAGAGGGAGAAGCAGGCTTCGGACTCTGGGATCATGACCTGAGCCGAAGGCAGTCACTTAACCAACTGAGCCATCCAGGTGCTCCCTGAGTTTTTATTTTTAATGAATGTGCCCATTTGCCTTTCACAGACACTGGGAAGTCTTTATATAGATCGGTGGTGAGCGGCAGGGGGTAGGGAATGTGGTCAAACCTCAAACCAGATCTACCCCTACCCACTGCCCCCAGTCTTGGCCATCTCCAGATGGTCTCCCTAACCAAAGGCCCTGAGTACCATTTTGCCGTGAACGGAGTGCTCTCTTGGTGCATTGTTAGTCTCGTGTGTTCCTAAACCCTGCAGAACTTGGAGTCTCACACCAGAGGCTCAGGCGGAAGAAAATGGATGTGAGAGTGATCTGGCTGTGACATCTCTCACCCCACTGATCACCAGGCTTGATTCTTGGCTGATCTGGCTGCCAGGCATGTGCCCCTTCCTCCCTTAAACACTCATCTGCCTCCCTCCCTAAGCTGCGCATTCCGTTGGAGAGGTCAGCCTTCCCCGATGAAGGAGGACCCTTCTTTGGTGAAGGCTGTACCAGTAGGTGGGCTCCTCTGCTAGGAGCTCCGAACAAGCCCTCAAGCTGAAGATCCTTGACTCGTCTCAAGGGCAGTGGGTAGGAAAGTGATGGAGTTTTTAAAAACAGTGCTTCCTTTTACTTTACACCAGCCTCTTCCTCCCAGCAGCCGTGGATTAAAGATTTAAATAAAATTTCGGAGCTCAACTATTTTGTTTATATGTCCCATGAAGGAAATTGCCCTTTGGGCTTAGGCTAACTTGGACCGGGTTAATGAGGGAATCCATCCTGCTCCTTATCATCCGAGGCCCTGGGGTTTGCGGAGCCCAGCCCTGTGTGTCTGCTGTGAAAGCCAGATTTGACCTTCAGCCTCTGCCTCTTTTTGCTCATGCCCTTGGGCAACGCCCTTACTGTCTTCCAACTTCTGTTACTTCCCAAGGTAAAAGAGGTGCATGATAACTTCCCTAGCACCCTAAATGGGAATTATGACACTGGGAGCAATTAATTCTTGGGAGAGCACTGTCTCAAGCGGGTGAAATGATATGCTCATTGTCACCCAAAACCAGGAAAGGTTTGGCCCAGAGAGATGAATTTTACAAAAAACGGAGAAATGGGGTCTTCTTTCCCTGATTCCCTCTGGCCCTTTCTGTTGATTTGTAGGATTGGGCTTAGCACAGAGGAGATAAACAACATTGCTGGGGGTTCATTAGCTTCCAGGTTTTGCAGGGGTCACTCCATACTGCCCTCCTTTTATTTATTTATTTTTTTAAAGATTTTATTTATTTATTTGTCAGAGAGAGAGAGGGAGAGAGAGCGAGCACAGGCAGACAGAATGGCAGGCAGAGGCAGAGGGAGAAGCAGGTTCCCTGACGAGCAAGGAGCCCGATGTGGGACTCGATCCCAGGATGCTGGGATCATGACCTGAGCCGAAGGCAGCTGCTTAACCAACTGAGCCACCCAGGCGTCCCACTGCCCTCCTTTTAATACTCTTGTGAGGAAACACAGGAAACAGGAAGAAAATTACCATCATTAATAGTGTTTTCAAGACCTGCTTTGTTCCCTGAATTTTTTTTTTTTTCCTATAGCTGCCAGTCTAGTCTTCACTCCCACAAGTTGATGTGTCTGCGTGTTACACGCGGGCTGTGAGTTGTTGTCCCTGGACAATGCCCTCCCTGCAGACAGACTCTGCATCTGTCTCTTCATTTGCACAGCAGGGAGTCTCTTCGTTCTCTTAACGAAGAAGGTTGGATTTGGAAATTCCAGGGTAATTTTTCTCTTTAAGCCATCCGTGGCCTTTGTAGGCCTTTTTGGGATTATTTCAGACCAGGTTAGGGAAGCCTGGGGCCTTTTTGACCTGCTGTGTTGATAGGGATGGAGACCCAGGGCTAGGAATCAGCCTCCAGAAGGCTCTGTTGTGGCCTTCCTTCCTCTCCTGCTTCCAGTTAGCTAACATCTTTGGCTCTGGGTTATGGGTGGTCTGGAATTCAACATGGTCGCACCATTCCCCTATAGTCCATAAGAATTTCTGGAAGAAAAGGGCCAACAGTTATTGTGTTCTTAATATGAGCCGGGATTTATTCAAAATGCTTTAGATGAATTGTACATCTAATTTTTTCTTCATGGCTCCATGCTATAGATCTGCTTATGCCCTGTGACGTGGAGAAATGGAGACACAAAAGAGGTCCAATAACTCATCCAGCAGCAGTTAGGAAGGACTTGAGTCCCTAGGGCCAGTATTTGGAAATGTGTGAGGGCAGTTTTTTCATTCTCTGACTAGAGGGAGACACTGGCAACCTTGTAGGTGGGAGACAGTGCTTCCATGAGGCAGGGGATGAGTCACTTTTTCAGAAAGCATTGATCCTAAATGCCAGGGGCTTCTCTGAGAATTAGCCTTGCTCTTTTTTTTTTAAATAATTTTTTAAAAATATTACAATAACAAATAATGTATTATTAGCCCCAGGGGTACAGGTCTGTGAATCGCCAGGTTTACACATTTCACAGCACTCACCATAGCACATACCTTCCCCAATGTCCATAACCCAACCACCTTCTCCCTACTCCCCTCCCGCCGCAACCTTCAGTTTGTTTTGTGAGATTAAGAGTCTCTTATGGTTTGTCTCCCTCCCGATCCCATCTTGTTTCATTTATTCTTTTCCTACCCCCCAAACCCCCACGTTGCATCTCCACTTCCTCATATCAGGGAGATCATATGATAATTGTCTTTCTCTGATTGACTTATTTCACTGAGCATGATACCCTCTAGTTCCATCCATGTAGTCGCAAATTAGCCTTGCTCTTAATAATACATGTGCCATGTTTTCACCTGGGAAAGGAGAAACAATGAAGGTGAGAAGGAAGAAAAAGAACTTTCTGGTGAGTTCAGGAATTCAGAAGCAGAAACTGGCTCTGGTAGAAAGTAGAAACTGTGCTCAACAGTTTAAAGGGCACATATTGCGGGGCGCCTGGCTGGCTCAGTCGTTTAAGCCTCTGGCCTTGAGTTTGGCTCAGGTCATGATCTCAGAGTCCTGTGAACCAGCCCTGCCTTGGGCTCCCTGCTCAGTGGGGAGTCTACTTGTCTCCCACTGCTTCTGCCCTCCCCCTGCTCACTCACGCACACTCTCTCTTAAATAAATAAATCCTTAAAAAAAATGAAGGATACGTGTTGGACAGAGACAAACTATGATGAAAGTTTTCTTTTAAGGGTTTGATTTGTGTTTCTCTAGTGATTAGTAAAATTAAACATCTTTTCATATGCTTGTAGCCATTTGTGTATCTTTGGAGAAATATTTATTCAAGTCCTTTGCCCGTTTAAATCACATTTGTTTTAATCTTGAGTTGTAGGAGTTATTTATGTATGCTGGGTATTAACCCTTTATTAGATATGATCTGCAGATATTTCCTCCCATTCCTTAGGTTGCCTTTTTAATCTGTTGACTGTCTTTTGATACATAATTTAAATTTTTGATGTAGTCTGAATTTTTTTCCCCCTTGTTGCCTGTGCTTCTGATGTCCTAACAAATGATTGCCAAATCCAATGTCATGAGATTTTGCCCCTGTTTTCTCCTAGGAGTTTTCTATTTTAGTTCTGTTGGGGTGCTTAATCTGTTTTTGAATGTTTGTATATGATGTAAGAGTCCAAGTTCGTTTTTTGGCAGGTGGATATCCAATTTCCCAAACCCATTTATTGAAGAGACTATCCCTTCCCCTTGAATGGTCTGGGCACCCTTGTCAAAAATCGTTTCACCATATATGTGAAGTTTATTTTTGGGCTCTCATTTCAATTCCACTGGTCTACCTCTCCATCTTGATGTCTGTACCACACTTCTTATTACCATAGCTTCGTGGTAAGTTCTGAAATCAGAAGGTTTGAGATCTCCAAATAGCTCTTTTTCAAGGCTTTTTGGCTATTCAGGTTCTCCTAAGATTCCAGATGAATCTTAGGATGAATTTTTCTATTTCCACAAAAAAAAATGCTATTGGAGCTTTGAGAGGGATTGCATTGAATCTGTAAATCACTTTGGGTAGGAGCACCTGGAAGGTTCTGTCAGGTAAGCATCTGCCTTTAGCTTGGGTCATGATTCCCAGGGTCCTGGGATTGAGCCCTGAATAGGGCTCCCTGGTCAGCAGGGAGACTGCTTCTCCCTCTGCCACTCCCCCTTGCTGGTGCTCTCGTGTTCTCTATCAAATAAATAAATAAAATCTTAAAAAAAATCACTTTGGATAGTACAGACGTTTTACCAGTAGTTAGGCGTCCAATCCATGAACATAGATATACCTGTTTATTTGTTATATCTTGTTTCATTTGCTTCAGCAGTGTTTCTCAGTCTCAGTAAGTTGTGTGTTTCCAGAAGTCTATCCATGTCTTCTAGGTTATCCAATTTGTTGGTGTAAACATTTGTTCATGGTATTCTCTTACAGACATTTTTATTTTCATGACATTGATTGTAGTGGCCTCATTTCTGAGTTTATTTTTTTTTTTCCTTAGTTAATCTAGGGAAACATTTATCAACTTTGTTGATCCTTTCAAAAGAAAAACAACTGTTTTGTTGCTTTTCAATTTTTTTTTCTATTTCATTATCTCTGCTCTCATCTTCTTTAGATCCTTTATCTTCTGAGTTTGGATTTATTTCCTCTAGTCTCTTGAGGAATAAAGCTAGATTGTTGATTTCAGATCTTTTTAAATGTGCTTGTTTAGAACTGTAAACTTTTCTTTTAGCCATGCTATCATTTCATCCCATAAATTTTGGTGTTACATTTTTCATTTGTCTTAAGGTATTTTCTCATTTCACTGTGGCTTCTTTAACCCTTTGGTTGTTTGAATGTATTGATTAGTTTTCAGATTTGTGGATTTTCCAGTTTACGTTCTGAGATTGATTTCTAGTTTCATTCCATTATGATTGGGAGTGGGGAGGAGTGTGATTCCAATGTTATTGAATTTAAGACTTATTTTGTGGTCTGACATGTGGTCCAGAGAATGCTATTTGTGTGCTTGAGAAGGATGTACGTTCTGCTGTTAGAGTGTTCTGGATTATCATATCCCACTAGTTTATAGTGGTTTTCAAGTCCCCTGTTTCTTTGTTGTCCTTTTGTTTGGTTGTTTTATCCATTATTGAAACTGGGACATCGAAGTCTGTTGTTATTGTGTTTCCTGTTTCTTCCTTCAATTTTTGTCAATGTTCACTACGTATATTTGGAAGCTCTGAGGTTTGGTTCATAAATATTTAAAATTGTTTTAGCTCCTTGGTGAATTGACTCTTTATCATTATATAATGTCCTCCGTGTCTCTTAGAACAGTTTTCAACAAAGTGTACCAACATGGGAATGCAGATTTCCTATTTAATCTTTGTTTTCCTTCCCCCACCCCGCCCCCATACATCTATATTGTGGGTAGATTATTATATCACACCCGTGATTGCATGGGTGTGAGCTGGCTTATTTTGTATTTCTTCAGTTACTAATGAGGCTGAACATTTTCTCATCTGTCTTTTCCCCTATAGTGTGTGACTCTTGGGCTAAAGAAACTCTTCCGTATCCTGGCTCGAAGATAAGCATTTAACTCATTAGCAATCTTATAAATAGGTATGAGGTAGGGCTTTACTTTCTAAAAATTTTATTTTATGAATGGTTAGCCAGTCAATGATCCTTTTTTTCCCCTCTAGATACTATCAGTATTCCCCCAATGCTTTTGTTTTTCCATTTACAGGTTTTTCAGGATTCCCGAACGAAGATGGTCATAACAAAGTAAAAGAAACAACAGGGAGAAGAGTAAACAGAAAACCAAGACGTAAATTCACTCAGGATGAATTGTGCCTACTTAATCACGTATTTGAAGAAACTCCTTACCCTGATTTTATCATTCGAAAAAGACTGGCTGAACGACTGTATTGTCAAATATATGCGATTGATGTAAGTGAAATTTTCAGTTTTGCTATATCTTTTTTTTTAAAGATTTTATTTATTTACTTGACAGACAGAGATCACAAGTAGGCAGAGAGGCAGGCAGAGAGAGAGGTGGGGAAGCAGGCTCCCCACTGAGCAGAGAGCCTTACGCGGGGCTAGATCCCAGACCCCGGGATCATGACCTGAGCCGAAGGCAGAGGCTTTAGTAGACATTATGGAGAATGCAAGAAATTAAGAAAAAGCTTAATAGTATTTCATCACATGGGACAGAGTGTTGAAATCTGGGTCACTTTTCTTGTTCATCTCAATGTGGGTATGAATATGTTCTGTGTTTCCTGGAAAAATCTGACACCAGTGAGGCAAGTTTGGAAGCAGAGACCAGTCAAGAACATATTGCAATTATCTCGAAATAGGAGGACAATGGTGGTTTGGACCAGGCCACTGGTTGTAATACAGACAAGATGGAAAGACTCGTGATTGTTTGCTAAGAGAGCTCTGCATTCTGTCTCATAGCATATGCAATAAAGAGGGCTGCAAAATGTTGGCTTAAGCAAATGGAAGATTGAAGTTGCATTTAATATAGGGAAGGCCTGGGAATGGAGGTTTTATGACAGACAGAAGCACTAGGAGTTTCACTATGGACACACGATGTTTGGTTTGCCAATTAAACCTCCAGAGATAGGAAGTGAACAGTTTGGACATACAGGTCTGAAGTGCAGGAGAAATGACTTGATAGGGTCCCTCCAACTGACACAATACCTCACAGCTTTAGTGGTTGCTTCACAACTATTTGTTGTATGAGCAAATATCTTTGTAAGTTTTATTTATTTAAATAGGCTCTACACCCAACATGGGGCTCAAACTCAGAACTCCCACATCAAGAGTCACGTGCTCATCTGACTGAGCCTGTCATGTGCCCCATCATGAACCAAATCTCAGCTACAATTTTGGAAACGATTGGTGAATCATCAGCTGTATGGAATTATTAGAATTGTGATATTTTTATACACACAATTATCATATTTCTCTTCTGTTATTGTCCATAAATCACTCAATTGATTGGTTGCTCAACAACAGGAAGACCTAAGTAGCTTTGAAGGATACAAAGTATAGGCAAATACAATGGAGTAATGATGTTCAGTTGTAAAAGTTTCATGAACTAGAAACATTGTGAGAAAAATACAAATCAGCGATTCCATACAAATAAGTAGAAAATCTGAATAAGTTAATAACCAGGAAAGAACTGGGTGGTAAGATACATAAACATTCTTAGGCCGTGTTTTCCTCTTTTCTTTTTTTTTTTTTTTTAATACTATGTTTTCTTTACATTTCTGGATCCATGACTTGGGTTTCTCAAGTTCAAACTGCCTTTTTTTTTTTTTTTTAAGATTTTATTTATTTACTTGACAGACAGAGATCACAAGTAGGCAGAGAGGCAGGCAGAGAGAGAGGAGGAAACAGGCTCCCCACTGAGCAGAGAGCCCAATGCAGGGCTCGATCCCAGGACCCTGAGATCATGACCTGAGCCAAAGGCAGAGGCTTTAACCCACTGAGCCACCCAGGTGCCTTCAAACTGCTTTTTAATCTTTATTTTAAAAATGTTTTCATTGTCCATACTTGGCTGAGGGAAAGTTTTATAAGAGGACTCATAATAGGAAGTTCACACATGACTGTTCAAATTAGAGTTGGATGCACATGCTTAGAGAAAAATGCCTGTGATGTGATCAGGAAGCAAGCATGGCTTGGGGGAGGATCCTAGGAGGCTGTTACATTAGAGGTAGTGAGCACACTTGCTTTTTGGTTGAGTCTTCATGAGATGATCTTCTAATTGGCCCTATGACATCTGACAAACTGACTCTTGCAACTCTGCTTTCTGTAAAATTATCGATGTTGGGCAGTTGTCAGAATGAGTATTTGGAGATGTCAGATTCATTGGGCACAGAGTTTTGTTTTAAGCAATCATCACAAGTGAATCAGAGATCCTTCCAGCTTCAGTGCTACTAATGGCCACAAGCATTCCTGAACTTGGAGACAGGGGATTCCAGGATAGTGTAAATGGCCGAAGACCCCCCTCAGACACTGTTACATATGCTTCAGGACTAATTAACCTACCACAACCATAGCTTATTAGAATGGATTGTCCCAGAAAGTATTGCATCATTTCCAACCCACCCCCACAAAGTCCTAGGGATTATGGTTGGCGTGTATAACTTACTTTAGGGAGGAAAAAAAAGGGAGACTGGAAGTCCTAAGTAGAATACATAGGGTCACATCACATACACAGTCAAGTTATGAGTCAAGCTCTTGCCTATGTGTAGCCTCAGAACAAATTTCGAAACGCGATTTAGAACATGTGGAGTCATGAGTTCATTCTGGTGTGGCAGCTTGAGTAAAAGTAAGTTGTGTGGGGGCAGCACGTGGATGGCTTGCTTAAGCATTCGACTCTTGGTCTCAGCTCAGGTCTTGATCTCAGAGTCGAGAGTTTGAGTTGCACATTGGGCTTCACCCCTGGGCATGGAGCCTACTTGGAAAACAAAACCAAAAAACCCCAAACACTTGTGTGGGGAAGATTCAGTGTGCTTGGGGAACAACTGGGAGTGAGTTCTGTCTAAAGTCAGAGGAGGCTGCCAGCAGGTTGGGGGCGGATTTGGAAAGGTTTACACGGATAGGAGTGAGGTGGTTGGGCGTTTGGAGCTATGCCGCGTGGCTTCATCACTACACGTGCAGCCCCAGGAAAGAAGGCCTTTATTTCCCACCTCTCACTTAAGGTCAGGAGGAGAGTCACTGACGAGACACTGAGATGAGGCCGAACTATGATCTCTCCCACCTTATGGAAATGCACTGTGCAATGATACCAGATAAGCCAACCTGATAAATCACGAGTCTCTTTTCTCTTTAGAACTGGTTCCAGAACAGAAGAGCCCGCCTGCCACTGAAAGAGAGACAGAGAATATCCGCTGCTAGGAAACTGCACGCATTCCCTACCCAGGATCATTCACATGGAAGCCTCCAGAACGCCCAGGCAGAGTCTCCCATCGGGGCCCCGGAGCAGACCTGCTCCTCTACCCTGAAGGCTCTTCTAGAAGGCATGGACTATTTCTCTCCTGAGACACAATGGGTTCCCAGTCAACAGGATGGCTCGGGGGACACTGGGGTCCCAGGCATTAAAAAAGAACTGAGCTGTGCTTCGGAGTATCCGGGTGACACAGGGAATAGATTGTATCCCAATTGTTCATCTTACAGCTACGGATCAGCGATCTGTCTTCATCCTTCTGCTTCCATGCAGTATTTTGAGAAGCATGAGCCCAACACCGGGCAGAGCTGGAACCCGAGGGCCTCCATTCTGCAAGTTCATAGTCAGCAAGAGGAGAGGTGGCAGCAGGAGCAGGCCTGCTGTCCTTACCCACTGTATCAAGGTCAGCAGCAGAATGGCTACTTGCTGTCCTCTACAGCAGCCTCGGCTTCAGAGGAACCAAGACAAATTGTGTTTCAGGATCAGCTGATTATGCATCTGAATCCTGTGGATTCAGGGCAGCAGGTGCCCTCCCTTCAGTCACAACAGCACGGCGGAGGCTTTCAAACCAGTCGTGGTCAGGTCTCTGCTAACACAGGTTGAGCAGGAGAAGGCAGCAGCTTTGGGCTGAGGGGTCTGCAAAGGTCCACCACTGGGACCAAGGATGTGGCTCCAGAAAATGGTTCTAAGCTTCAGAAAAAAACAGCCATAGGTCATCATCCCTTGGTCATCCACACAGCAGCCCAAGGCAAAGGCCTCTCTAGAGCCTGAGCCTAAGCCCTGTGTTCAGGAAAGCTCCATGAGCTGATGGTCCTCCTAGTAGGGCGGCATTGTCCCCCAGGGCTCAGCCCCTGGCTGTGCAGTTCATAGTGCCTTGGAGAAAAGCTGGACTAGAGTCTGGAGTAGAAAACCAGCCAACAGGGAGAACACAGGTGTCAATGAGCAACAGTTTGGGCTTCAGAAAAAAGAGGCTCTTACACAGCATCTGCCCTAGATATCATCCCCTCCCCCCACCTCAGAGACAAGATAGCCTACAAGAATTATGAGGTTACAAAGGACCCTCCCCTGCACTTTGCTGGGGCGGGGAAGGTTGTGGGGGTGGAGGTTGCCCTTGGATTAGCCTGCAAGTCTGCTGCAGCAAATCTCTCTACTCGCAGAAGCAGGGCAGCAGCCACATGTCTTTGCTGGAGCCCTGACTGCAAAGACCATCCCAACAATGTCAGCTTGGTCAACCAGAAGGCAGCCCCTCGGGTGAGACCAATTGAGGCAGGCACTGGAAGCAGAGCTCCGAAGAGCCCAGGGTGATCCTGTACCTGAGCTGGCAGGCAGCCCTCACCGGTCCTCTTGGCTGAGAGCTGCTGCCTGGAAGTCGATTTAGAGTGTGGATGGACACCAACAAGATCTCACAAGATCTGAGAGTACCCAGTTGAGCATCTAAAAGCTGTGTTGTTGTTAAATCAGTGGTTTTGAGGACTAGCCTGGTGTCTGTGAACCTCCAACTTTGAAATGGTTTTCATAATTTGAGCGTTAGGGTACAGAATCATTTCTCAAACATTTTGGAGCATTTGCTGTCAGTCTTGTATGCTTTCCCCTACACTGTGTAATGTGTTTTAACATATTTTAGATTTTTAACCCAAATCATGTCCTATTAATTGCAGAATAAAGCATGTCTCCTACGTCTTTTCCAAGGCTATCTGACATGCAGATCTATTTCGTTTTGCAAATATCTCCCATATGTTACTACAGATCAGACTGAGAGTAGGTGGGGAATTAGCAGCTGTGATGAGTGTGATTTGCATAGTCATTTTGCACAACCACTAGGAAATATTTCTAGTTAATATTCCTATTGAAGTTGTAGATATTTGGCAAGTCTGCTACAGGATGTATCCTTTAAAGAAACTTACATGTACTTACACAACATAGCCCCCAAATAAATATCACATAAAGTAATAATCCTGCACAATTCAAAATAATAGACCAGAACTGTCTAGTTGAGAGTTCTGGTATACAATGTTCAGTGAAAAATCAAGTTGCCTAATTTTTATAGCATGATGTTTATAAAAATGAAATAAGAGCTTCAGCAATAAATAGCATTGGTTATTCTTGGATACACATATATGCAGCAAGAACAAAAACATGGGCTAGGTTTATATTCACTGAATCATGGAGAGTTGCAATAGGCGAGGAGGAAAAGAAAATACCTTTTATATTATGATGCATGGCCTATATATACTGAGTTATAGCCAGCATCATTGTCTACATTTCCCATTTCACACTCAGTATGATATTTACTATATTATGTATTATCAGTTTCTGCCGAAGGAATCCATTTACTTCTGATAGGCTCAGTTTATTTCCTTCTGTACAGATTTTGAAAATTTCAATTCCCTTTTTTCATTGATTACCATAATATAGTTTCTAATCCAGTAACCTGTTCATGTAGGGATTTAGATAGATTTTTCTTATATTAAAGAATGTTTGTGTTCTGGGAATAACCCAGTTAGGTTATGAGGTATCCTTATGTATTTCTGGATTAAAGTTGCTAATATTTTTTTTCGTTGCTAATATTTTTAGTAAGATCATGACATCTGTTCATGAAGGAGAAGGCCTCTAATAATTTTCTTTAGTGACACTATCTTTAGGGGTTTAGATCATGTTAAGATATCTCTGGAATGAATTATGTAGGCCACCACTTACCATTTAAAATCTTGTGTAAAAATTTATCCATTTATTAAATGAATTTCCTAATGAATCAGTTTGGTCTGATGTTTTCTTTATCGGAAGAGTTTGGTCTACTAATTACGTGTTTAAATGATTATAGGACAACATTTCTCCTTGAGCTATTTTTGGCAAGTTGAATTTTCCCCTCAATATCCATCTCACCTGAATTTTCAAATTTATTGCCATAAAGTCATTGAAAACATCCTCTTTATGCCCAGAGCATATGTAGTAATGTATTTTGCATTTTGCAGTTTGAATTTGTACTTTTATTTTTCTTCTTTGTCAGAGGTTTGGAAAAACCCAGGTAGTATCTATGGAGCTTGTATTTCCTTGTGGACGGGACTTCCCCAGGCCAAGGAGGGCTCCAGGAGTCGGGTCTGGCTGGGTGGATGTCCCTGTGGACCAGCTCAGAGGAACCTCTCGATTCAGCCTTGAGCTGAATCCCACTCCCCACAGGGCTGTCAAAAGGCACCTGCTCCCCTGAGGTCCCCGCCGCCCTTCTCAGACTCCCACGTGCATGCATGCATGTGTGCGTGCTTGCGACAAAAGCGTCCAGCCAGGAGCTGGTGCAAGTTTGGGGTCAGACTCCAGGCTGGGGCTTCTGGGGCTTTCTTCTGCAAGAACACTACATCCAGTTGGTGTGTGGAGTGTAGCACGGGGACTCAACAAGGGAGTCCTGCCCCTCTGACCGCTGAGCCTGAGAGCTGGGGACAGAAGTGTCAAGTTCTGGCTCTGGGTCAGGTCCAGGTCCCTTGGGTTGTCAGGCGCCTCCCGTGAATGCCTGTTGAAGTGGGGCGGAGACTTGGGTGCCAGAAGCCACTGTTTTGCCTCTGGAGCAGGAACTGGATTTACTGGTTAGTGATCTAGCTGGATCTTAGAGTTGGGGGAAGAAAGTCAGAGCATCCTTTCGGTTTGGCAGGAGAGTTGGGACTCACCCCCCCGGCCTGGGTAAGAACCCCCCAGCCATACTGTGGTTCAGCAACGGATCTCCTTGGGAGGGTAAACAATTTATTTACGAATGTTTTTCACATTTTCTGCAAAGAATGCTTAGAATAGGATTAAGTCCTGCATCAGGCTCCCTGCTTAACGGAGAGCCTGCTAAATCCCTCTGCCCCTCACCTAGTCGTGCTCTCTCTCTTTATCTCTCTCTCTCTCCCTCGCCCCCCCGTCACTTTGTCAAATAAATAAATAGATGAAATCTTAAAAAAAAAAAGCAAAGGCAGTTTCATTAAAAAAAGAAGAAGAAAAAGTATAGGCTTTACAAGAAATGGTATTAGAAGACCTTAGACATCTACATGGAAAAGAATAAAGGAGACACCTATCTCACACTCTATACAAAACTTAAATTATTTCAGTTGGCAAATATCAGGTCCATTTTCGTAACCTGTAGAACTCCTTCTACATGTATGTTGCAAATCTGGGAAGGTGACTAGTGATCCTAAGAGCTCCCATCTCTGACAAATCCTGAGAATCACAGAAGGGAAACAGAATCATCCTGGGAAATGATTTAAAAATAAAACTAATGGCATGGTATCAATGTTGTCAAATTGTTATATCAGAACCTTTTCAGACACATTTGTACCACTAATATGTGGGTGTGTATGGACACATACATGCGTGTCTGTTTTGATTTCCAGATGATTAATGAATGTACAGTTCATATTAGGCACAATAACTTATGCTGGTTGTACTTTGATGATAAATATTGGGGTTGGAATAGTCTGACCCTTGTGTTTTAGTGTCTAATAGGTACCTAGACACACCATAAAAGATATCCACTGCGTGGCTGTTCGTAGTAGTGTGACACTGGTGTGTTTGCAGATATAAGCTATGAATTAGATCTGTGTGTCCTGACCTCATTCTAACACCTTCCAGTGCAAAAAAGAGAAAGTGAAAGACTGAAAAGTTGTACAATGGAGCAGAATGCAATTCGATAACACAAAGAAGTAATATTTATTTTTTCAAGGATATTTTTGTTGTACAAAAGTAGAACCACACACACCTTGCTATACACAAACATAGTCTAGAAACGATCACTTCAAAAGGAAGGAGAAAATAGAAAAATAAGGATAATTTTTTAAATTGAGATAAAATTGACGTGTAACATTGTGTAAGTTTAAGTGTACAACACATGGAGTTGATACATTTATACTGCGGCGCGACCGCGTTGTCACATTAGCTCATACCTCTCTCACCTCACATCATCGGCATTTCCTCTAGTGGTGGGAGCAGCTGAAATGGAATCTCTTAGCAAGTTGAATGTTTGCAGTGGAGCTGTGTTGTCTGTGGTCTCTGTACTCTATTAGTTCGCCAGGACTTATGCATCTATTAGTTTCAGACGTGGATCCTTATGCCCCCACCTGTCCCATCCCCCTGCAGCGGCGGGCCAGTTTATATCGCCACCAAGGGTGCACGAGGGTCCCGCCAACCATGTTATTGTTTCCCTGAGTTCACTGAGTTGTGTTCTCTTGAATCTCATGGAGTTTCTTAAAATAATTATTAACAAAAAAATTTCAGATAACTTAAAGCTCTCCATTTCTTTGGGGTCAGTTACTTGACAATTACGGTGATGTGGTGGCATCATGTTTCCTTGCATTTCGTGTCTCCGCTGGTTTTGCACTGATGGCTCTGCACAGGCACGTCCTTCAGTCTTTTCAGACTGGTTTCTGTGGGGAAAAACTTCCATCCAGAGGTGGTTCTGTGGATGCTGGTGGGATGCAGCATCTCTGGCTCCTGGAGGGCATCGTGGTGGCTTCATCAGTGGCACTTGCTGTTGGACAGACAGCGGGAATTTCCTGGGGCTGACATTGCAGAGGTCGTGCAGGTGGCCTTGGTAAGTAGAACTGCTGGGGTCCTCAGAGGTGAAGGCTTCTTGGGTTCTCCTGTTCTTCTTTTATCTGCAGGATGAAGTGGCTCCGGCTGGTGGGGCTGGGGGGAAGGCAGCAGCATTGGCCCTGGCCTGACGAGCTGCAGTCATGGCTTGGACCCAGGGGGCGGAGTACCTTGGCAGCACAGCCTGGGGCTGGTAGGTCAAAGTCTCAAATCTGGCCCCAAGGGGTAGTCATGAGTCAGCGGCAGTATGCTCTGATGCTAGGAGGTTCACTAAAGCCATGTATGGGGACCTGGAATCAGAGCAGTAACAGTTCAGAACCATGAGTCGACATGTGGGTAGGACTCAGCAGTGGCCGCACAGGAAGGCAAGGACAGTTCAGAGCCATGTCCTGGGACTCTGGCCCCAGCAATGAGGCGTCAGGGCCATGAGCGGGGACCTGGGGACTTGGGCTCAGTGCTGGCAATGCTCTCAGGCAGTGATGGTTCAGTCATCACCTGGGGTTCTGCAGGCTCAGGGCAGTGGCATTGCTCCTGGGTGATGACCTGTCAGGGCGGCAACCTGAGTGTATCATGGAGCTCAGGGGAACAGTGGCAATGATAACTCGGAGCCATGACCTGGGACCCAGGGGAAAGGGTTCAGGGCAACAGCTGGCCAGTCCTCACAATGACAGTTCAGAGCTGCAACCTGAGATCCAGTGGGTGGGGCGCAGGCCAGAGGCCACTCCCGTCTGAGGGGCTGTGGTATCCTGATCCCAGAGAGTGGGGCACAGTGGCAACTGGGACTGCTGGGAGCAAGCCTCACGCCAAGTGACAGCCCCAGCATGTGGAAGTAGACACAGTGGTGGGGACTCAGGCCGCTCCACCAGCTGGGAGCAACACTGCTGCAGACTGTGGGATACCTGGGTAACAAAGCCTGCACGTGTCCACAGCAGTGAGGCTCTCTGGGGTTCTCCTGCTCTCTTTCTCCCCCTGCAATGACACTCCTCTTAGGGGATCCCTTGTGGTTCCAAGCTGCTCTTGACTGGCGAATGGGAAGATACATGTTAATGCACTTCCCATAGTCTTTGATGTGTCTCTTTTCAACTTTTGAGGTCTCCAGGCTTTTGGCTGCTTTTTAAAGTCCAGAGCTTTCTCTGAGCTGTTTTTGGGGACATTTATTTATTTTTATTTTTCCTCATTTTATTTATTAAAATAAAGAAAAATTTTAGTTCCAGTATAATTAACATACAGAATTATATTAGTTTCAGGTGTATAATATACATTCAGATGTACAATCTTATACATTACTCAGTGCACATCATGATAGGTGTGCTCTTAGTTCCCTTTTACGAACCATGTCACCCATCCCCCACCCACCAACCGTCTGGGAACCACCAGTTTGTTCTCTATAGTTAAAAATCTGTCTTTTGTTTGTCTCTTTTTTCCTTTGTTTTGTTTCTTAAATTCCACATATGAATGAAACCATATGGCACTTGTCTTTCTCCAACTGACTTATCTCAGTTAGTTATTATTTTTTAAATATTTTATTTATATATTTGACAGACAGCGATCACAAGTAGGCAGAGAGGCAGGCAGAAAGAGGGAGAAGCAGGCTCTCCGCTGAGCAGAGAGCCCGATATGGGGCTCGATCCCTAGACCCTAGAATCATGACCTGAGCCAAAGGCAGAGGCTTTAACCCACTGAGCCACCCAGGTCCCCCTCAGTTAGTTATTTTATTTTTATTGTTGTTGGGGGAGAGATGCACATTGAGACTTCCTAGCTCACTATCTTGCTGATGTCCTCCTCTACCTTTTTTGGTTCATTTCTTCTTATGGGAGTTTTAGCGCATGGTGTCTTTAAAGAAATTTGCCAACTTCATCTAGGTTATCAGATTTGTAGGCAGAGTTTTAATTTTTAAATTTAATTAATTTATTTTTAAATATTTTATTTATTAATTATTAGTTAATTAATTTATTTTCAATAAATTATTTTTATTTTAAATTAAATTTATTAATTCAATAAAAATAAATTAATTATTAATTTATTTTAAATATTTATTTATTTAATTTATTTTTAAATATTTTATTTATTTACTTGGCAGAGAGAGAGAGAGAGAGAACAAACAGAGGGGAGTGGGAGAGGCAGAAGCAGGCTCCCCACTGAGCTGAGAGGCCCATGTGGGGCTTGATCCCAGGACCCTGGGATCATGACCTGAGAGCTGAAGGCAGAAGCTTGACTGACTGAGCCATCCAGGTGCCCCTGTAGGCAGAGTTTTTTTTTTAAGTATTCCTTTATTAGCTTTCGAGTTATCCTCTAGCTCAGAGATACTTACTGTTTTCGGTCTACCAATAAGCATTGTTCAAAAGCATTCTTCATTTTCATTATAGTTTTTTTCAACAGTAGCATTTATTTTTGGTTCTTTCTAGTTTTTCCCTGTCTCTGTTTACTTTACCCATCTGTTCTGGCATGCTATCTACTATATCAGTTAGAGTCCTTATAATATTAATCACAGTTGTTTTAAAGTCTGGATCTGGTATTCCGATATCCCTGTCAAGTCTGGTTTTGATGCTTACTCTGCCTCTTCAAATTGTGTTTTCTCTCTTTTTTTTTATTGTATGCCTTGTAATTTTTCCCAGCTTTATTGAGATGTAATTGACATAAGACATTGTGTAAATTTATAGTGTACAATGTGACGATTCTATATATATATATTTATTGGGAAATGATTATCAGAATACAGTTAGTTAACACATCCATCACCTTACGTAATTACCATTTTTTGTTGTGGTGAGAACATTTAAGATACTGTTTTAGCAAATTTCATGTATACAATACAGTATTATTGTAGTCAGCATGCTGTACATTAGATGCCTAGAACATACTCAGCTTATAATTGAAATTTATTCCTTTTGATGGGTATCTCCTCATTGCCCCCAAGCCCACCACCGACTCCAGTCCTGGACAACTACCAATCTCCTCCCTCTTTCCATGAGTTCGTCTTTTTAAGATTCCACAAAAAGAACATACAATATGTAAGTTTTTCTTGGTAGCCAGGCACCGTGTGCTGGGTAAAAGGAACTGCTTTACTAGACTTTTAGTAATGTGGTAGTAAGGTGTGGGCCGAGGGGAAGCATTCTATCATTCTATGATTAGGACTTAATCTTTTTTTTTTAATTTTATTTTTTTTATAAACATATAATGTATTATTAGCCCCAGGGGTACAGGTCTGTGAATCGCATGGTTTACACATTTCACAGCACTCACCATAGCACATACCCTCCCCAATGTCCATAACCCCACCACCTTCTCCCGAACCCCCGACCCCCAGCAATCCTCAGTTTGTTTTGTGAGTCTCTTGTCTTAAGAGTCTCTTATGGTTTGTCTCCCTCCCGATCCCATCTTGTTTCATTTATTCTTTTCCTACCCTCCAAACCCCCCATGTTGCATCTCCACTTCCTCATATCAGGGAGATCATATGATAGTTGTCTTTCTCCAATTGACTTATTTCACTGAGCATAATACCCTCTAGTTCCATCCACGTCATAGGACTTAATCTTTTTATAAGTCTATGCCTCTGGACTGTCAGATTCACAATTGTTTCTTGGATTCTTTTGTCCACTTGTAGGTGGGAGAAGATGGGTAGGCTTCTCTCACATGGAGGGCTAGAGTTAGAGGGAGTTAGGTGTTCACCTCTTACCAGGTCAGGTTCAGTTCTGATAGGATCTCAGCAGGTTAGGTCTGATTAACTAGTTCTTCCTGAGTGTAGGTTTTGTTAAGAAGAACAGGATACTCTGTTGTATTTAAAAAATGGTTTCTTTTGTCCCCCTCCTGGCAGAAGCACAAGGTAATTTGTCTATAATATTTATTGTCAGAATTTCGTCAAGCTTCCAGAGATAAGTCTCATGATATTGTGGTGCCCCTCAACAAAATACCAGCAAACCCAGTTGAACAGCGTATTAAAAGGATCATATGCCACAATCAGTTGAGATTTATTCTTGGGATGCAAGGATGGTTCAATGTACCAAATCAGTAAGTGTCATGTAGTACACTAACAGAATTAAGAAAAAAATCAAATGATCATCTCAATAAATGCATTTGACAAAAATTTGACAATAAATGTTTTTGTGGGTTTTTTTGACAATACATGTTACCCTTGACAAAATGCAACATCATTTCATGATAAAGACTCTCAACAAATTATATGTAGAAGGAATTTACCTCAACATAATAAAGACCGTATATGACAAGCCCACAGTTTACATCATACCTAAGAATGAAAGGCTGCCCCCAAGTCTTAATTGGACAGAACTGCTAGAATGGTGTAGCTATCAGAGGACAAATAGCCCAAATCCCATACTGAAATATTTTGAATGGCAAGATCAACATGGAAGTGGAAATAATCTGCATTTATCCAGTTTTCAAAGAGATAGCTGGAAAAAGCACAATTATATAACAGAGGCTGTGTTCCAACTGCCAATGAATATCTCAAAGCAACTTTCTAGGGGAAAATTCTGAGATCAGAATGTTGTGTATTCAATGTTATAATACCAATATGCCTTTGACTATGGGGACCTCAGTTTGAGGGCATACAGGGAAGAACAATATCTCTTTCTCTTTATGCTCATGTTCCAGATGACAGAGACATTTACTTAAATCCTAGTAATAAAAGTGTATTCTGTGGGAACATGTGGTGATTGGTGGGCTGAGTGGCACTGGGTTCATTTGAATTGATGTTGAGGAAAGAATGTCCAGGAAGCAGTGTGGGATGACATTTACTCTGCAATGGTGCTCTCCAATGTATTCATTGCTTCCAAGTTTCCACCTGTGTTTAAAGCTTCTTTTCTGATAATATCTGCAGTAATCAGTCTAGAGAACAGATGTACATTTGTGCACAATGCCCAGGACATAACAGCAGATCCACAGATATTGGTGTCTTTAGCATAGAAAATCTGAGTTATCAGATTTTCCATAGAAAACACCCAGAAATGCATCCCTAGACTGACTCCAGGATTGAGGAAGCAATGATAGCGTTTCATTGTTTGTCAACAATTATGTTGTGGACCATTGTTTCAAAGTTAGGTATTGGGTTCCCAAAAGCTTCCTTGTTAAGAGTTGACTCTAAATGCAGAGAGGGGAAAATGGAATGAATATGTGCCCTGTCAGGTGTATTGTTCCTTACTGCCTTCCTGTTTCTAGAGATCTTATCAGAGAAGACTTTGAAACACACTCCCTATTTTGTAATCCTATTGCCAGGAGGAGATAACACAGGTGGAGGGAAGAGATGCAGACATTTACAAAACCAAAGGTTATAGACGGGGAGGGAGAGGAAGAAGCATCAGGACACCTATTAATTGGTTAAACTGTGAGGGAGGATACAGTGGGTCAGATCAAAGAATCGATCAAAGATATTTTCTAGCTGACAGGCAAAACTCAAGTGTATATTATGTGACTAGAGGCTGGTGTTATGAACAAATGGGATTAAGTTTTGAGGCCTCAATATCTTCTACAGGGAGGATGAGGTCGTGACCTGGTGCGGATAATTCTCTCAACAATTTGTCAGGTGAGTTTAATTTTATAGGGAGGCTATTTGGTTTAATGGCTTTGCTGAGGCCACACGACTTCCGGTAACTAGTGCAAGGAAGTAGCCAGCGCTTAATACATTATTTTTCTCACATTAGTGAAAGTCAGTGCATATTTTTGGAGCTATCATGTATATGAGTAGCATACACTTAGCCTGAAAAAGTCTTTGCCCTCATAGATGAAGACTTTGAAGAATGCTTTTAGGTCAGATGATTTCTTTTTTAAATGTACTCAAACATTCAATAATCACGTAGTCACCCTTGGGCATATTTGTACATTAAAGTGGTTGGTGTCACAACATCTCTGCCACAAATGCTTTTCCATGAGCTCAGAAAGGAAAAAAGAAAAAAGCTGGAAATTCATGATACTATTTTTTTTCTTGACGCAGCGGTGTTTTAGGGAGTTGGCTCATAGTAGCTCTTGAGAACATATTCAGGAATTTTGCAATTCCGTTGTTAAACCATTTGCAGTTTAAAATCATGGAAATCAGCAAACACTACCAATGAGTACTTTTTACTTCAAAGAGCTGGTTTACCAGTACACCACTAGATCTAAGTGTCTGGCAATCAAAAATCATAGTCTATAAATAAAGATGAACAAATCCTGGTCTTTGAATTGTGACTTACGTGCTGTCATGCTGGAAACAAGGAGGCTTAGGAGGTAAGTGATCTGCTGACTGTAGTCCGTAGTCATTCACCATAAAGTAGGCATCTTCAAAACGCTTTTCATTTGCCTTTTGCAAATTCTCACATAATAATTCTTTGTAGAATCAAGTATCTACATGACATGTTAGGCATTTAAATGAATTAACAAGCTTTGTTCTATCAGATGTACATATGTTCTATCTCATGCTTTCTGCTTTTGTTTGAAAAGGAAGGGTAATGCCAGTCAACTTCGTCATCTCCTCGTTGAGGATATTTTTTTTCTTTTTAAAATATTTTATTTATTTATTTGATAGAGATCACAAGTAGGCAGAGAGGCAGGCAGAGAGAGGGGGTGGGGGAAGCAGGCGCCCTGCTGAGCAGAGAGGCCGATGTGGGGCTCCATCCCCGGACCCCAAGATCATGACCTGAGCTGAAGGCAGAGGCTTTAACTCACTGAGCCACCCAGGCAGCCCCGTTGAGGATATTTTTATTTCTTCCTTTTCCAAGGTTTGCATCCCACCTGCGTGTGGGGGAGAGGCGGCCAACTTCTTCAGGTAGGTCGCTTCCACCTCGGCTCCCACATGGAATGAAAAGACTTCCCGTCTCTCCTTGAGGCTCACCGCCCGTGTTGTTCTCCTCTTTCCCGTATGCGTCCTCTCCGTTTTTCATCATTTGTTTGCCTTCTGGTTTTCTTTTTTCTCTCATTCTTTTTCTTCCTTGCTTTCTCTTCTTTCCTCATTGCATATCTTGTCTTCATCTCTTTCATGTTTCTTTTTCTCACCCACATTTCTCCATCATCTTCTGGGTTTTTTTAAATTTTGATTTTTCCGATTTTATCCCACAGTCGCTCCTCTTTATGAGGTGTCACGGCACAATGTTAGGAGAGCTGACTCTGGAGTCCGGGCTTCTTGGGCTGAATCTCAGCTCTGTCCCTTACTAGATGGATGACCTTGGGCATTATGTTTGGACCACCTGCGTTTCCACGTCCTCACCTGTAAAGTGGGAACAAAAATGGCAACTTTCTCTTGCAGATTCAACGAATTATCACAGGTAAGCTGTTTAGGAGTCTGCATGGCCCATAAAGGGGCCTAAGAATTTAATATTCTACTATTAATATTCTCGCTGCTTTCCATCCTTTATCTGTAGCTCACTTTCACTGCTCTTCGACACCTGTCGTTTTCGTGAGTGGCTCTCTTTTCCTTTGTCGACAGCCTGTGTGGTCTTATTATCACAGCTTTGTTTCCACTTGTATTTTCTTTCTTTCTTTCTTTCTTTCTTTCTTTCTTTCTTTCTTTCTTTCTTCCTTCCTTCCTTCCTTCCTTCCTTCCTTCCTTCCTTCCTTCCTTTTCTTTCTTTCTTCCTTAGTAGGCTCCACACCCAGCATGGAGCCCAATGCAGGGCTTGAACTCACAATCTTGAGATCGAGACCAGAGCTGAGATCAAGAGTGGGACGCTTAGCCAACCCAAACACTCAGGTGCCCCTTCTTCCACTCGTTTTGCTGCTTTAGCTCATTTCTGTCTTTTCCTGTGCTCAGAAAACTTTCCAGTTATAATTTCCTTTCAATTCTCTCAATTCTTTACCTCTCTTTTCTTTTCTTTTTTTTTTTTTTAAAGATTTTATTTATTTATTTGACGGGCAGAGATCACAAGTAGGCGGAGAGGCAGGCAGAGAGAGAGGAGGAAGCAGGCTCCCCGCTGAGCAGAGAGGCAGAAGCGGGGCTCGATCCCAGCACCCCAGGATCATGACCTGAGCCGAAGGCAGAGGCTTAACCCACTGAACCACCCAGGCATCCCTCTTTTTTTTTTTTTTTTTTCCTTTAAGATTTTATTTTTAAGTAAGCTCTACACCCAGCATGGGGCTCAAACTCACAACCCCAAGATCAAGAGTCATATGCTCTACCAGCTGGGCCAGCCAGGCTCCCCTTATATGCCTCCTTTCAAGCACACTGCCTTCATCAGCCCAGGACTCTAGGAATGTGTGTATATGTCTACACATTAATATACAGCCCGTTCCCTCAAACCCATTCCGCAAATCCTCTTCTCTCTTGCACAGTCATTTACAGGTTTGTACTTAATATGCATGGATTGTTGGGTGATGTTCTGTTCTGATTCTGATCTTGGCACCCAGTGCTATTTTTTCAGATCTCAGGATGTTAATGATTTAAATCTAAATGATTCTTAGTAACTTTTTTTTTCATTTGCCTCATTCACATTTATATTCACCTTATATCTTAATTGGTGAATACTTTGTATGTTTCCCCATAAAGCTGTCTGTGCTGTTTATCATCAGGCAAAAAGCTGAGGTGTCAGAGGGCATATACATGTTCAATTCAATAACATTTTCAAATTATACTCTGGCATTAGCATACTTGTTTACCATGCCACCAATAGTGCTGGCATTTTCTATTCTCCTACATCTTCACCAGCCCTTGAGATGATCCGGTTGATATCTTTAGTTAGTATCATGGTGAAGTACAGCATCTTCCTGGTCCTCTGATACACATTTTTGTAATTGCTAGTGAAGTCAAGTGTATTTTCAAAGGCTATCTAACCATTGGGTATCCCCTTCTGTGAATTATTGTTCCAGAAATTGTCCAAATGTCTTTTGGGGTCCCTGTCTTTCTTTTGTGGTTTTTAAAGAGATTTTGACGTATATGAGACACGAATAACACATTTCCAGTTGTATACATTGCAAATATTATCTCTGACTATGTCTCC